GTGTTGCTGTGAGTGAAACTCCACTCCCTCCTCTCAGAGGTACTGAAGGACAGCACAGGACAAGGAAACTGGGCTGCATTTACAAAAAGTACTGCTGCACACATATAGCTGGAACCTGAATAGCCCTCCATAAATTTAGTTTAACAATGGCTGCAGTATATTTTCCTGCACAAACACTGGTGGCATAGATACGCACACTGACACACACACACACACACACACACACACACACACACACACGAGTCCTTTCAGCACCTTGAGTGCCACCATTGCAAAATTGTCAATCAGCTTGATGCCTCTAAACATGCAGTCCTGTGCACACTTTCCCTGGGACAAAATCATCAACACAATGGGATTGTGATGACAGCAGTCCTTGCACTAAAGCAACGGACAGCAACAAACACAACTGGTTAAAAGCACTTAGAAACAAATGGGAAGCATTTGTTTTTCTTTTTTAAGCACCTAGAGCCTATTCTAACAAAAAAGGTTTGGTTTTTTTAAAAAAGATTTTAAAAAACATGATAAATCCCCAGACAGATGTGAAATCGGAAGCTTAACAGCAGCAATTTGGGGGAGATGCATACTTAGGATGCAACGTTTTTTAAATTGGACGTAAGGGTATCTACTTTTATGCTTGACAGTCAAACTGGTTACATGTCCAACAGCTGGAGGTTACTGTAGATGGGCTGTGACATAAGAGAGTAGCCACCCATCTGCTGCCTTCCCAGAGTGGAGGAGAATAAATAGCATGCCACATCCCACACACTCCAGCTGTCCCCAGCATCCAGTACTCTGCGATTTGTCTAAAAATAAAATAAGAAACTTTGCTGTTTTTCAAACAAAGGAGGAGGGGAGGGTGCTAGTTGCAGAAAGAAAGGCAGAGGGAGAGGGAAATGGGGTTGTTTTAAAGTATACCTGGGTGGTTCGTTTTTTTCCCCAAAGCAGGAAAGAAACAGATCCTCTTGTCCAAAACCTGTGCTTCTTGAAAAGCTTTGCCGAAATATGGTGAGTGTATTTGATAAGTTTTCTATCCTCCCTGCTTTTTCTGCTTCCAAGTTTGTCATTCTCAGTGCTCAGCTACAGGAAGAGAGTGCTCAGCTGAAGCCAGTGGCATAGCGTGGGTTGCCGGTGCCCGGGGACAGAGTATGCATGCACATTCAACTGCCTAATTGTGTCCACATCACACAGGAGAACGCAGCCACAGAGATAAGAAAAGAAGGGTCATTCCGTTATTTGGAGAGGTCCCTTCCTGGTTTGCGTGCAGAAACCATTTTCAATGGAGCCCAGCGACAGAAGTGTGCAGCTGTACTGAGGCAGCATCAGGTGTTGAAATTTTGCACCCTCTAACAATTCTGCGTTTGGGGAAACCTCCCCTGTGCCTTCCACCATGCTACATCACTGGCTGAAGGTGGGGCAGAGCCATTACACAAGCTTGCCAGCAGGTGGGTCGCTATTGTGTCTTGGGAGGGAGAGGGGATGCGGGGAGGCAATGGAGAGGTCAGCATGATGCTAACACACCAGCAGGAATGGCAGATTGGCTCCACCAGTGCATATGCACCATGCCAGCCTCCCCACTCTCTCGGCTCTCCCTCCCTGCCTGCAAGCAACAGCAACCCACCTGCTGGGAGGCTGGGGCAGAGGCTCCAGCCCACCCACCCAGCTGCTCCTGGTGCTCAGTGAGATGGGGCAGCAGTTTCGCTGCAGTGAAGTGTTCACTGGGCCCGTGAAGAATTTATACTTCCCCCATCGTCCTGTGCCAAAGTCCTTGAGTGTACTTTCACTAAAAGGTGAGGCCAGGTTAAGGGGGTTCTCTGACAGTTGCCAATCTATGCCCTGAGAAAGCATCCCATGCACTGCAATCTCTACATTTAAAACTACAGAGCTGTGCCACAAATAATGTCCCAAAATTCTCTCTCTCCCCTTCCCTCCATATTTGCAGGCAAAGAAATGGGAGGCAGGGGACATGTTTCACCAAATTTCTCCTGGGAATTAAACCAGGGATATATGAAACCGCCTACTGAGTCAGAACATCAGACCATCTTGCTCAGTATTGCTCACACTGACTGACAGGCGCTCTCCAGGGTTTGGGGCAGCAGGCTGGACAAGCTGGGGACTGAAACTGGGACTTCTGGATGCAAAGCACACATTCTACCACTGAGCTACAGATCTTTCCTTCTCCAACAGTTGCTCATGGGTGGGATTCTTTCTCTTTCCCCCCCAAAGAATTTGGTGCTGGTGGTTGGAAATGGCAGCATCGTCAACCGTCTTGGCAGCCTGGTTGCCATTTTCATCCTCTGCAAAGCCCTAAGCCCTAAGGCTCATGCTTCCCAAATGCCCCCCAGTCCAGGGACCACATGAAAACTGCTGAGAGTCTTAGCAGACCCCTTAACCATTCTTCTGCATGTGGAAGCAATTGCCGTGAGCTGTGCTAGATTTTGTATGATTCCTATGTGTACTTCCATTGCTTCTTTGATTTCTTTTATTGTATTAAAATTTGAATTCCACTGAATTCTGGTTGTAAACATTCTTCACAGACAGGTTTCAGACCAACTGAATGAAGCTTGTGGACCACAGTTTAGTAAGCCCTGTCCTAGACCATTGCATAGCTGTCAATGTTTCCCTTTTTAAAAAGGGAAATTCCCTTATTCCGAATAGGATTCCTCGCAAGAAAGGGAAAAGTTGACAGCTATGGGCCATTGGGCAGGGGAGGGAGCAGCTGCTCTCCCCCCGCCATCAATACACACCAATGATGGATAATATTTGGAGAAAGTTCTGCAAAGTGGCCTTCCTTTCTAGAAGAATATCAATTTTCTCAAGGGGGAAGTAAAACCCTTTTTTGCTCAGCTCTAGTCAAAAGTTCATGACTCTTATCTGCTGCAAGAGCCCATTTGCCATGCTGATCTTCTCGGTCCATTTTCATCAGCTATGTCAATGAGAAAAGATGGATAAAGAGATGAATACAGAGCCTGGGTGCCTTGCTGAGTGCTGGGCATATTCCATCAGTCCTTCTCACATTGGGTGGGTGAAATCTGACTCCAAAATAAATCTGGCAATAGGTTATGGGCCCATCTACCTGCCCAACAGATGGTTAATGCTATTGCCAATCAATTCTTTGGGGAAACTTAGTGCCGTTTCAAGCTTAGGATTGCTGGCTACAACCTTTACCTAAAGGCATTTGCTTTTAAATGGTCCAACAAAACAAGAGAAGAGGTGGCCACAGCTGTTTCTGCCTAGCGTGCTCCTGGTGGTTCTTCCACCCTGCGATAAATCAGCTACGTACTTCAGGCACATTTGACAAAAATGGGTTTCACGTTCCCCAAACAAATGAATATTAGGAAAACAGGGGAGCGGGATTTGTCAACATTTTCAATAGATGTGAAAATATCCTACTGGCAACAGCCAGTGGCATTTTTCGGGGGCCACACTTGGAAAGTGGTGTGTGTGTGTGTGTGTGTGAGAGAGAGAGAGAGAGAGAGAGGAGTATATGTCTAGAGTAAAAGAAGCCACAAAGAGCCAGTGAATAGCAATGGGCTTCTTCTACACTGTGATCTCCAGTACACTCCGTCATCCCACCATATCAGTTTCAAATACAGTGGTACCTCAGGTTACATATGCTTCAGGTTACATACGCTTCAGGTTACAGACTCCGCTAACCCAGAAATAGTGCTTCAGGTTAAGAACTTTGCTTCAGGATAAGAACAGAAATCGGGCTTCAGCGACGCAGCAGCAGCAGGAGGCCCCATTAGCTAAAGTGGTGCTTCAGGTTAAGAACAGTTTCAGGTTAAGAATGGACCCCCGGAACGAATTAAGTACTTAACCTGAGGTACCACTGTACAACTTTTCTCCACCGGCTTGGAAAAGAAGCAACGTCCTCTGGCTGGGTTAGGATTACACATACGTTCAGTCCATCAAGCACCACCATCATTCCACATCAGCCTTAAGTAATTTCACTACACATGCTACAGGATCCCTAATTGGCTGGGATCATTCTAGGAAGGAAAGCTTACTGGGGCGGGCGGGGGGGAGAGAGATGGTGCCAAATAGCAACTTGGGGGTGGGGAATACAGAGGCAAAAACATTTCCCCCTTAACAAAGGCTTAGAAGTGAATGCCTAGCACTGCCTATTGACTATCTCTTCCTCAGCTGTTTCAGCACAACAGAGGTGTATTGATTTACGGCAAGCTACATTTAAATGATTACTTCATATATTATGATATGCTACATTACATCCTATTTCTTTTCTACTCCTGTAGCCCAAAGACTTAACTGAAATCAGCGTGTGTCTCAGCTTCATAAAATATGCATGACTTCAGGGGGGAAATATTGTATAAAATTCACCCGCCTTGAGAAATTGCAGAGGATTTGCAGTTGATGATGCTGAAATTCACTTTTGTTTTCTAATGCAATTTCTATGTTTATCAGCCCTCTGCTCTCTGAAACAATTTAAAAAAAGGAGAATAAAACAGATTTTGAACTGGGGGGGAAATATATTAAGGAAAGCACACAACCCGAAAGCATGATGTTCAGCTCAGAACAGCACTAAGTTATTTTCACATTTTGGAAAAAAGGAAATCTTCGATAAGCAATTCCTGCAATGCTGTGCACATGGGCTGCTATGCTTAGGATTTGTTCCAAAAATAATTATGCATGTACATAAAGGTTAAAAGGCTTTTTGTAACTTTGGGGATCTCACCAGTCTTTCAATTTTCTCTCTCTCCTACATTCAAGGATGCTGTTCCACACACGGGCACAGGGAACGCACAGTGGATCATGTACTTGGGGCAGTTTCCTTATCAATATGCTAAATATCACTTTGGGGTGTGACAGTTGCTCTCTGCCACAAATTCACACAGGCACAATTGCAAAGTGGTTGTTTCTACTGACACGTAAAGGGATATCGTGAGCGGTGCACCTCCAGATGTCATTGGACTCCAGATCCTATCATCCCTAAGCTAGCATGGTCAATGGTTAGGGATGATGGGAATTGTAGTTTCCCACCCCCATTCCTGTGGCACAATGGGTCAGTTTGTCTGGTTGTTAACCAGAAGGTTGGTTGTTCGAGCCCACCCCCGGGTGGCTGTGGGCAGAATTCCTGCATTGCTAGATGAACCTTGGGTTCCTTCCAATTCTATGATTCTACGATTTCAGGTAATTTTCAAAGAGGTTTCCCTTGACCGTACATGTTTCCCAGTTGTGTGAAAACAAAGAGAGTGGACTAGGCAGTTAAGATGCAGCCAATGTTTGTGTTACCTGCGTATCATGGAAAAGAGAGAACTCTAACCAGAGGAATATTGAAATTGTTGTTTGTTCTTCTTTTAAATATTTGAAAGCATCTTCCAGAGGCATTTCTGCCCTGGTTGGCAGGGTATAAATTTACTATGAACAAAATGAACGTGGTAGTATATCAGTTCTGCTAGCGTGAGCTACCTTATTTGTTCCAGGCAGATCAATCAAACTTTTGTTTTGATTACAGAACATTATTGATTGCTTTAAAAATAGGGGAACTTCATAATATACGATGATTGCTCAAGGCAGTTCTCCAGCTATCCATTATAAACTCTGAATATCTAAAATCACAGGCAGAACTGGGAAAGACTCGAAATGATATGGAAAGAAGTTGGAATTGAAATAGTCTTAGAATAAAAGCACGGGAAGAGATGGAAGACTTCGCATTTCCCCCAGGTTTTTTTTTTTTTTGTAGAGGTGAACTGAACAAGAATGAGGAAATTATTCCACCAACATCTCTGCTAACAATTGGCTTTTGTCAGGGAGACACTGCTTCCTTGCCAAATGAAGTGAGCTCTCAGCCTAGCCGGTCCTCTCCGGGTTGGTATATCATGAGGTACCGATTCAATAGGGAATTGGTTTTGCTGCCGGAATTCAAACTGGAACAAGCAGACGCTGCATTGAGATAAGAAATGCTCTCGCTATGCTCTGCAGATTCATTGTACGTCTGTGCAGTGTTCAGTGTGTGAAATATTCTTTGGCATCCCGGCCATATTCCACGTGCCAGCAAGCTCTTGTGTGCATCTTTGTGCCGCTGCCTATAGATTAACTGCACTTGAGTGACTAGGGAAGGGGGTAAAATAAAAAAGGCCACAGAAAGTATGGGCATGGTGGAAAGAGTATGAGAAACATGAAAAGGGAAAAGGAGACTGGCAGTGTAGGTGTAAGGAAGGAAGTGACACTTATGTCTCAATCTTGGACAAGATATTAGGGAGCTCTCTGTGCAGGTTATCTGTCGGTAACACAAGACTTCCCCATGTTTGGCTGACATCTGAGGTGCTCTGGGGAAAGGGACCCCCCAATTCATTAGCCATGGCAAAGGGCAATACAGAATATGTAAGTTCCTTCGATTTGCTGTCATGGATGCTTTAGCTGAGATTCCTGCATCACAGGGGATTCGACTAGATGCTCCTTGGTGGTCCCTTCCAATTCTACGATTCTACGATTCTATTATTATTATTATTATTATTATTATTATTATTATTATTTGTACCCCGCCCATCTGGCTGGATTTCCGAAGCCACTCTGGGCAGCTTCCAACAAAGATTAAAAATACATTAAAATGTCACACATTAAAAACTTCCCTGAACAGAGCTGATTTCAGATGTCTTCTAAATGTCAGGTGGTTGTTTATCTCTTTGACATCTGGTGGGAAGGCGTTCCACAGGGTGGGTGCCACTACCGAGAAGGCCCTCTGCCTGGTTCCCTGTAGCTTTGCTTCTCGCAGTGAGGGAACCACTGGAAGGACCTCAGTGCTGGACCTCAGTGTCCGGGCAGAATGATGGGGGTGGAGACGCTCCTTCAGGTATACTGGGCCGAGGCCGTTTACTAAACGTGTATTATATATATATATATATATATATATATATATATATATAGTTCCGAAGAGGTTTGCAATGTATACTACAACAATAAAATGCAACAACAACAACAACAACAAACGAAACCATGCGTAGTTTCATTGTCACTGATTCCAAGGCAGGTTACAACATAACACATAGGGCTGTGTGTTGGCTCCCAAGGAATCCTGGATCCTGAAGTAAATCAGGTTGATGCGAGCCAATTTAGGATTCAGCAGAAGGGCAGTGAGGTAGTCTGATTAGGTTCACGTGGAGAAGTGACACACGCATGCCACTTACGTGCATACATCCTTCTTCCACCTGACCACATGTGCAGTCAGGGTTTCCTGTGTATGTCTGCATCTCTCTCTGCCAATCATATGCTTTTTGACTGTGTGAATTAGCTCTTCATAGTTGCACAACATCATTTCGGTATTAAATAATGTCATTTTATATCTTTCATATTTGGCTAATCATATAGGGGTTGGGGGGTCTTCCCCCATGTTCCTCAGTCTGTGTGAGGGTAGCTGGATGGCAGTGAAGGTTTCTGCAGGTACAAATAAATGCTAGGCAATACTGGTCTCCAGGTCGTGTGTCCTGCAATATATCACAGCAACCTGTATCAGTATTGTAGACAGCACTGACCTTTCAAACCTCTAGGGCAGAGGTTTTCAAACGGTAACCTTTGAAATCGCCTCATATCAAGAGCTTTTTCCCCCCAGCCGGAGTGCAGTTCTGCCACTGCAAGTGGGTGCCATTGCAAGCCAGTGCTACCACTCCTGCTTGCTTCTTGCCTTTATGTACTTCTGAGAAGTCCATTCGCCCCTGCCCATTCCTCTGTGAACCAGCCTATTGCAGGCTGGATCGTCCTCCTACCGCCAAAACTGGCCAATGGTGGCAGGAATTGGAGGGCGTTCCCCTGGGCACGGGACCAACTGACCAATAGCGGCGCTTGGCCCCACACCCAGGGCAAGTATAAATTGTCAGCCTGCCGGGCCTTTCAGCCTCTCTCTCACGTGCGAGTCTACACTTTTTAAAAAAGATCTATGACTTCACTTTGCTCCTAGCCATGATTGGCCAAGCTACGGGGCAGGGCCAATCTATATTTCTTTTTCTTCAGTTCGTCTCCCGTGTATCAGTGGCTACAAAACGAGCGATGGCTGCCCTAGCCATCTACCCAAATCTAAGAGAATGAGGGAGCTGGGGGCACATTTATTTGACCTGCTCCAGAACCAGGGGCACCAGCATCTGTTCAGGGCTTGTCCCAAGTCACCCAGCGACTTACTGCAGCAACTTCACTACTGTAACACTGCTCACACCAAGTTAGAACATCGGACCATCTCGCTTAGTATCATCTACGGCATCAGATAGTGACTCTCCAGGATTTCAGACAATGAGTTTGCCAGGGACTGAACCTGGGACTTTTTGCATGCATGTAAAGCATGAGCCATGCAGCTGAGTTACAGCCACATTGGCTTCCTGGATGTCTGCACTATCCTTGCAGTAGACTTAGCTGAGGCACTCAGTTACCAAGAAGCACTGATCAGGCCTGTTAGGTTTCACTGCAATCCCTGTGAACTTAGAGCACAGTCAACATGCACCCTGTAGACCACTAGTCAGGGAAAGATCAGCATAGCCCCCAACATTTCTCCAATGAGAAACAGGGATGTCCCATTCCATAATGATTACTTTATTATTTATAACCCACACATCTTATTGGGTTGCCCCAGCCACTCTGGGCAGCTTCCAACATAATAAAACATTTAACATTAAAAAAAACACACCCTTCCTTATACAGGATTGTCTTCAAACGGCTTGGGGGGTTGGATAATGCCATAGGTAAAGGTAAAGGGACCCCTGACCATTAGGTCCACTCGTGGCTAACTCTGGGATTGCGGCGCTCATCTTGCTTTATTGGCCGAGGGAGCCGGTGTACAGTTTCCGGGTCATGACTAAGCCGCTTCTGGCGAACCAGAGCAGCACACAGAAATGCCGTTTACCTTCCCACCGGAGCGGTACCTATTTATCTAATTGTACTTTGACATGTTTTCGAACTGCTAGGTTGGCAGGAGCTGGGACCGAGCAACGGGAGCTCACCCCGTCACGGGGATTTGAACCGCCGACCTTCTGATCGGCAAGTCCTAGGCTCTGTGGTTTAACCCACAGCGCCACCCGCGTCCCGGATAATGCCATACCCTCCAACATTTCTCTGATGAAAATAGGGACGTCCTAAGGAAAAGCGGGACATTCTGGGATCAAATCAGAAAGCAGGACGGCATCTGTAAATCAGGAATGTCCCTGGAAAATAGGGACACTTGGAGGGTCTGGATCAGTAGCATTATCCAGCTGTCTCCCAGGGAAGCTTGTTCACTATTCCGTGTCTTTTCATTACAGAACCATAACTTTGCAGGCCTTTCAGCAATAATTTTTACAGCATCTGTACAAACCCAAATCTTTACAAGAACTTTTACAGACTCTCACCAAGTACAGTTCATAGTGCATACTAGTTAGAAGAAAAAGACCCCTCTTCATTTCCACGTCTAATCAGGTTCCAGACCAGAATATCCCCTGTGCAGCTAAATCTGGATTATTGGACGTATCTGAACATCTAGTAATATTTGCTTAAGCCCACTCGAAACACAAGCAGCTCTCAAGGAGCAAATACATTTTTTTACTGCAGCTTCTTGAGATCTTCTTTGCATAATGGTTTTATTTGGTAATTTAAGTTGAACATCTATAAGAAAGCAAGCTGTCTTGTTGCTCACTTCCCTTAAAAATGCACCCTAAAACTAAAATATACCGCACAAACAGCAGGCCCGTTTTCTTTATCAAGCTGCTGCTTATGCCTCAAGCAGGACGCTTATAGTCTGTGTATTTTTATTATAGTCGGGTAAAAAAAACAAAAACCTTTCAACCTAAGAGACTCAAGCAGCTGTGAATCAATATCACACGGCTGTGATTTCTATGGCAACCAACTCAGATATTTGGGAAAAAAATAGTACGTGTGAACTTTCTCCTTCTCGAACACTTACACAGGGTTCTTTGATCTGAGAGTGACTTTTCCAACTAATTATACACACATCTAAATAAAATCATATGATAGTGATGTGATGTTACGGCATTTCTTTCCTTTATTTGAAAAAATGAGGTTACTGTTTTAATTAAATGAGGTTATACTGGTACAACTCATTGCAGCTTATTGTGGGTTTTCATGTTTAATCCAGAGAAAAGCA